ATATTTATGTGTTTTAGGATTCTATGTTGTATATTTTAATTACAACCTTATAATGTAGAGTGCTGTATACAAAAATGCATGTATATTTTCCTTTTATTGTCAGCTTTGTGGTATGACATTGGCCTATGCTATCTGTCCCTATGAAAATAAACATCTAAGTTATAAGATTGAGTTTTTTCATATCAAACTCAGTTTTGATACTATGTATGCCTGGCACAATGTATGAATACTCATTAGTTACCTCTCTATAGTAGTTTGCATGGTCTCTGGCAGAGATTCAAATAGTAGTGCACATGGATTTTCAGGAAACAGCACATGCGCGTAGTGCTTATAAATCGGAAGACAACCGCAGTAATTTGCATGTAATTTGTGAGCATGCACATATGTAATGTTTGGAGCAGAACAGCCGGGCCCAAGCAGTTTGAAGAGGAAAAATATTTGCAATTAATTTGCATTAATACAAGTATAGCTACAGCGAAGAAGATTTTGCATTTTCATCATGGCGATTTGCTTGCATTGCTCTAGCTGCTTAAACCATGTTTCCTGCCCTCAGTGATGGATAAATGTGTAATTTTCACCAGTGACGACAGGTGTTACAAATGAACCAAAACTGAGATCTTTACAGCTACAATGTGAATATCTATAAGGGTTAGAGTTGTTAGAAGGGACTGTTAAACTGGTCTTCAGGGTTTCAGGATGTACCCTCTTAATACAGTACATGCAATAATTACATTCACAGATTTTTTTTTAATAAACAGATTCTTATTGATTGTACTCATTATCATGAGAACTACATAAAAATCTCTTACTAAAATTATATACATATGTATGTATATATATATATATATATATGCTTGTGGAACAGGGGTGCTCATTAAGTATTGGCTTTTTACTCACAAAGGGTTTATTGCACTTACAGTATGAGCAGGTACAGTGTTCCCTCCTGACTTTTACTTCTAGAACATCAATTCATTGCGTTTCCCATCTCCACCACTACTCTCATCTAAGCTGAAGAATAGGTATATTGGAATTTTTGTATACCGGCGGTTACTAAAGTCTCATGTTGAAAAATTTCGGATGTGATTAGTGCAAAAACTTTCGAGGGACATCAGGAAATTTAGTTTGCTGGAAAATAGAGAAAGTTGCATTTATTGGCAAAGAACAAAACACTTGCTGTAAACATGTTACATGAAGCCATACTGTAGCCCTTTTTCTCACAAGGCTATTTTGGTTCTGGGCTATACAACAGGCTGGACAATTATGGTTTGGTTCAGCTAGCATGTCAGAATTTGCCCAAAGAAAGAAGTGGAGCACTCTGCTGACAAGTTGATGAGATTGGAGACTTAGAAGCACACATTAATGTCCAGTAATGGTGCTAGCTTTGTCATTACTCGGGGTTAAGTGGGGCCTTAGGCTGCATTTCACAGTAAGTACATGCACCTTTTTTTCATTTGATTACCTGTTATATTACAGTACACACATTGTGCAGAAGCAGAAATACATTTTACTGTTCTACTCATAAAAAAAATGTATAAGTTGTAAAAGTTGGTATTAGTATTAGTATTAGTATTATGTTATTGTCATTGTTATTATTACCATATTCAAACAAATCAAATACATTATACTTACATTCTATCTTTATAACATACATTTGAACATACATGGAAATATTAATCTGCTGTTTACAAAACATAGTAAACTACACATTAACTATTTTATTGGTTGACTGTTCATTGACTACATTCAGTGATTTTGACTTTAGTTCACATATTTATGACGTGTAAAATAAGGTGGTATGAGTGAGTCATTCACCGGTAGCTCAGGCTCAGATGTCTGTACTAGCTAATGGATTACGTGTTTTTTGCAGGGGCATCACAGTTTGCATGAAATACGTTCAGGAAGTATGTGTACAGTGTGTAGTCTGCAGTACAGAGCTACATGAGATCCAGATACAAATAATGCAGAGGCTTTTATTCTCCAGAAATATAAATTGCAGGCTCATTTTTAAAACATGTTATGACAATCAAATAGAATATTTGAATTCAGTTACAAGGTCAGATTCGGCACAACTCATTTGTAATTCAAGTCGCAGATAGCAGCATTTGACCTCCCAGAAAGTGACATAACTGCAGAAGACAGACAGCAAGACATTCATTAAAATCAGCTCTGAATTTAGAATTGATGCAGAAAAGGTGAATGAAAAGGCAGCAGAGCAAGACAGAGCTGAAAGTGACAAGATCAATCACAGAGGATGGCGTTGAACCTCTACTGAACAAATGCAACAGTTACTGAGAGAGAGAGATATGTGGAAAGACAGTGACAGTAAGGTAGAGAAAGAGACATGGACATGGAATAGGGTCTTCATTAAGGGAAGATGAAAATTGTATCCTGGCAACAGAAGACTGGGAAAACCTGAAGAAACCTGAGTTAGATTGTGTTGCATAGCTTGTGTAAAGGTGTAGGTGTATGAAGTTTTCAGATGCCATTTTAATTCTGTTTTTCAACATCTGAAACTCAGATTCTGTTGTTGTATCTCTTGATAATAACCCAGGGCCACACATAGACAAACCACCAGTAACACTCACAGGACAATTTAGGGTCACTGATCAACCTAGTCTGCATGTCTTTGGACAGTGGGAGGAAGCCGGAGCACCCGGAGAGAATTCAAACAGAACATGCAAACTCCACACAGGGATGACCAAGGTTTGAACCCGCGACCTTCTTGCTGGGAGGCGACAGTGCTAACCACTACACCACCGCGCCACCCACATATACATTCCTGCAGGTGTAAAATACTAACTAGCACACAAAATGTGCATTAATAGTCCACAACAAATGCAATAGTTGCTCCTAAATGAGTAATGTTCATTTAAGTACAGCAGTGCCCAGTTGTTTTAGGAAAAAAAATAACTATATATTGTTTACAGGATTGAGAGCTCAACTAAGTGACTGGGTCAATATAGCACCGCTATGGGTTAACTTTACCCAGTACCTGGGGTACAAGACCAGTAGGTCAGAAATACTTTATTTATATAGCACAACTCATTCCAGGTGGAAACACAGTGTGCTGCATGGAAATAGTGGAAATATTAGACGTAAATAAACACAATGAAAACAGAAAAAGTAAGAAAAAAATAAGACTAAATAAAATAATAAGTAAGACCAACAGTTGACAGTTATAGATAATGGATGGGTGGACATTTACTGTTTGTAGTAAAAGGGCTAGACTGAACATGCATAAAAATGCTAACATTAATATAAAGAATACCCCTGACATTGGGTCAAAATAACAACATTGTCTGGTGGGTAGTTACTGGGTTGGGTTTTTTTTAAATATTCATGCCTTCAGTAAAAATGAAGTGGCACAGACAGATTAGGAAAGTCCGATTATATTGAAAGTCTAACTAATGCATTGTTAATTTTGGTCTTTTTGTTCAATAATTAGGTAAATCTGAAAAACAAAACATTCACATGAAAGTATAATAATCTTCTGAAATGCAGCAAACTAAATCAACAACTTCCTCAGCAAAATAGCTGAAGACAAAACATGTAGCATGTGTATTTATTATCTTGGGGAAACCGCACGTTACCTTTTGTTGTTGTGTAATTACCTCTAGTTGTGAGCTGGAGCCTTCGGGAGCTTCGTCCTCTGAGCCTCGTGTCTCATGCCTGGTAGCATATCCAAGCACAGTGTACTGGATGACATCAAAGAAGCATGATGGCCAGTAGGGATTTTCTAAGGAAGGTGATCTTCACTTCTTCTGTGTTTTGTTGGCATCACAGATTTCACTGCTGCCACTCCAGGGAGAATAAAGAGAGATAGAGAGAAAAAGAGAAGAAGTGTGCACATGTCAGACATACTGTAGGAGTAATTAGCTTCTGTTTGTTCTGTGTTGTGACTGACTGATGCTAGTCTGAGGAATACTATATATTAACATGCAACTTGAGCACACTCCTCCTGCACTGGTGGATGCACATATACCCTTTTTTGGAAAGAGATCTTCCTTGTCTCAAAACTTCATTTTAAGCTGCCTCTCAAATGAGCTGAAAACACAACACTGGTAATGATGCAAACCCCTCACACATCAGCGTTAGCCCATAAAATATTTAATATGGGGGTCTCCAGGGCCCTTGAAATTGATGGGTCAATGAGCGCGCATGAGCACAAAGTAATAAATAGTCCATTTTAGAGCATTCACCCATCTACAAGCCCGGGGCTAGTAATCGAATATGCACTTGCAAAATGTTCCACTTGGTGTTTACACACACACACACACACACACACACTCAATCTATCTTCTGCTGATCACCAATCAAAAGCTCAAGAGCGTAGCTGGTGTTTGTAAAGCAAGTAAAAAGAGGATCATGGTAGACATGTTTCTGTCTATACATAAGATTGTTACTTGTGGGAGGGTGGATGTGCAATTGGCTGCATGAATTAATGAAACCTTATAAGGTTTTGTGATGACTCTTGACAGTGTTTACTTCACCCGATCAATTCTTGTTACTGATCTGGCGGGGCTTTCTCACTCTGGAGACCAGCAGCTGTGCTTCCGGCAGTCTGTCTCCTCTCTGACAATGAGGCTGCTTTCATGTGCAGCGTTTTGATATTTTGATAGAAATTAACACAGTAGTTTCTCTGAGTCTCACTTTGAGTGTTTAAAGATTGATATTGGGTAGTTTTCTGGGTTCAAGCTGATGATGATGCAACTACTAAAACTGGGTTTTCAGTGTTTTCCCGAGACATTTACTTTTGGCAGGACTATATAAGTCTCATCTAGAAATAGAAATAACGCATAATAACAGTATTTGCACATGTGATCAAAATGCTGTATGTGAGAATCAGCACAGGGTAGGAGCTTCTTACTAAACATACCAGAGGTCGATTATACAGGTCTTATTCAAGTCACAAATGCTGTAGGGCTGAATTCTTAAGTGAAATCAACAAATTATTTTTGTTGTTTGCCTTTCACACTCCTTCCTCTCTTCTCTCCTTACAGACAGCAACTTTGTTCTGGGAAATGCCCAGGTGCAGTCTCTCTACCCCATCGTCTACTGCTCCGATGGTTTCTGTGAGCTCACTGGTTATGCCCGTGCCGAGCTCATGCAGAAGAGCTGCGCATGTCACTTCTTGTACGGCCCGGAAACGAGTGACCGGTTAACAGCCCAGATCCAAGGAGCCCTGGATGAGAGGGGAGAGTTCAAGACCGAGTTAATCTTCTACAAGAAGGAAGGTGAGAATCTGTGCGCGTTACTTTGTGAAGTAACTAAAAACTAAAAACATTTTCAGAAATTCTTCACAAGCTACTTGATCCAAGCACGTAAGTAAATTAGTTTCACATGTGTGAGCTGAAGAGATGCAGACAAAGACTAAAATTGGTAATAGTCTGTTAATTCTTCAAATTCAATTCTAATTGAGTTAAGTGAAAAAAGAATATTTCAGGAAAGGGCTGAATATGCCATAAAATCAATGCTGCTGACGCATTGTGTCGTCTGTGTCGTATGCTCCATGTTTTTTTGAAATATTTTGAACCATTAGAGGCCCATTTCTCATCAGGTACAAGCACATACTATTCTAAAATGGGATGCAAAGTATATGTTGAAATTCTAAACTGCCATGGTCTTGGTTTGTGTTGTAAGTTTCCTGTTTTATTTTGAAAGTGTCTACCTCTTGAGTATGTATTTCCTGTCTGTGTCTTCCCTATTGATTGCCTAATGTGTCTCACCTATGTTTAATCATCCTGCCTGCTTGTGTTTGTGTGTGTGTATGTATACATATAATCTTTATCTCTAAAACATACTGGGAAACAGTGTAACAACGTTAAAACAGGAGTGATGTGGTCACGGTTCTAGTTGGCAGCTGAGTTCTTAACAGCATATTGATTCAGGCAGGTGAAAAGACATTATTAAATAAAAGCATATAAAATGTATAAAATGATCTCAGATTTTTTTTAAAGTTAAAAAAGGTCAGATTTTTTAAATGTTTCCTAGATGATAAAAACATGATCAGCCTCTGTGGTGTGCGACTCAAAACATAAATTGGTGTCAAACCAGACACCAAGATTCTTTGCCACTGGCTTAATGAGATCTGACAGGCCAAAGGAGCCTGTAAAGGGCAGAATCTGTTTTGTGAAATGCTGGGGGCCAATGATGAGGATCTCTGTTTTTCTGGAGTTCAACTGAAGAAAATGATTAGACAGATTAGTCAGTGAATCCAATGCGCAGGTACAACTGTGTATCGTCTGCATAAAAATGGAAAGAGACACCATGTCTTTCAATGTTGTTACCTAAAGGAAGCATATATAATGAAAATAAAATTGGTCCCAAGACTTTACTTCACAGTAAAGTAAGGAAACATATAATTATTCAATGATACAGAACCTCCTATCCGACAGGTAAGATAAAAAGCAATCTAAACAGTTCTAGATATCCCCACCAAACCACCAGGTGCTTCACTGGTCCTTTGTCAGTCTGTCTTCATATCAAGTCGAGCGTATCTGCATGTTTCCTTGCCTTGAAGGTGGATTACTGTGGATTTTGTATCTTGGTTCTGGAATGCCATCTTTCTTTGGATTTCACTTTTTAGAACTGCCTCCATAGGTTTGGATTTAATTAGTTAACTCTTGTTAATAAACTTTGAGAACTATACCTGCTCAGCCTAGTGTTCTGCTAATTACCTGTTTCTGCACTTGGATAAAAGTGACACTTTAAGTTCCCGCAACACCACCAGCTCTGTGGCTAACAGATCACAAAAATGTGTGAAATAATAGAGCATTTAAGCTAAATTCCCTCAAAAAATAGACACACTTACACTCTGATGGCAGTGAGCTACAACACAGGATGTTGGGAGACAAATTTTAGGTTCAGTGTCTTGCCCAAGGACACTTTGGCATACAGACACGAGGAGGTGGAGCTTAAACCACCAACACTGTGATCATATGAATTATTGACACATGCATTTACTAAAAGGTAACCATTGCCTGTCATGCGCAAAATAAACTGAAATGTTATCTTGCCACTCAGCAAAGGTGTGATTTTAGAAAATACATAAAATGTCATATGAATGCTGTCAATCGGTAAAAGTGTGAACTTTATTAATATGCAAGCACATTCACAAAGAGAGAAAAAGCGAAAGAAAAAAATCTTGAGGTTATAAGAGAGAAGAACAGAATGAGAAATTCATTACTCACCATCCACTCTTTATTAATTATTAATAAATCAAAGCTGTGATTTGCGATGAAAGGGAGAAAGATAGATGAGTGATGAGGTAAAGCACCCTGTCCACAAATAAGAAATAAGAGGAGTGAGAGTCACGTTGAAATGGAAGAGAGACAGAGGGAAACACATCTGATCCTCTGAGATAGAAACCTATAACAGAGAGCAACAGAGGCTTATAAAAGTGTGTTTCTTACAAAAACACACAAATTACAAATTAGAAGAGTTTCATGCTTATATCAGCTCTCCATGAGCTCACATTAGCATTTTAGTGGTTTCTCATGGGAGCAAGGAAAAGAATAAACACATTCATATGCAGTTTCCTCACTCAGATCACCATACTTCTCTCACCGAAGCCTGGAGCACAATTCTAAAATTGCATTTTATCCACTGAGTACATAATCATAATATATTCATAAGAATATGATTTGCAGGCCAAGAAATACAAAGAAGGACTGGAAATAAATATTAGCACATTTAAAATGTTACTGGAAAGTTACAAGGTAGTGGAAAAAAGTACTGAGTAATGTTTGGTGATACAGAAACATACAAAATGGCATTTACTTTATACACTATTATAATAATTACTTTTTGGTAATAAGTGGAATATAATTGTTGTAAAGTTACAATGGTGTATATTCAGGTAACATAACTGGCAATATCCTAAAAGTACATCATTGTCATCTGTAATTGTACTCCGATCACAGGTTTTCATTCGTAAATATTCCAAAGAAACTGTAATTACTCTACAGGCTGTCTTGGCACATTACTGCCACCTGTCAGTCAGTGTATCCCAGCAGGAGAGATGTGTGGTGCGCTAGCAATTTTTCATTGCAAATGATGAACAAAGGCATTAAAACATGGGATATGATTGAGTCACAAACACATTAGATTTAAGATTTAATAGTCTTTAATGTCCCCAAGGAGCAATTTGGCTTGCAAACAATACACATAACAAATACATAGAAAAGACATAAATACATATAACATACAATATTATATAATTAAGTTACCATGAGATATAAAGCAATGAGTGACCACCAGTCCATTATTAAAATATGTGTGCAACATCTACCAGGCCTCCAGCTTGTTAAAAACTCAAAAGCTGAAGGAACAAATGATCTCAGATATCTATTTGATTTGGCCGTCCAAGGGAAAGTGCACCTCCTCCCTGATGGCAGGAGTCGAAAATGCATGAAGAGGGTTTGGGGAGTCCACCAGAATGGCCTTTGCCCTCTTAGTGGCTCTAACTTGACAAACATGGCCAACATCATTCAAGTTAGTGAAAAAATATATATACCAAAGACGGACGCCTGCGTTAAAGTACAATTACTGGTGAAATGATGTATCAGTAATTACCAGTTGTGTTACTTCCCCAGAATAGCCGCTGTTATAAATCTGTCAGATTAAATAATAATAATCAAAATGAATGACAGCCCTTCATTCTTTATCCTTTCCTTGGCTTTTAGTTATACACAAAGAGACGGAGCAGGAGACAGTTCATCTGTTTCCACTGCTATTGTTACCATCGTGTTCCAGTCAAACGGGGACAAATCCAGCCTCAATATGTCTGATGTTTTTATTGAGACAATGCTCCCACCATGTTTAAATGCATTATTTACATGCATGATCCCCTGTTGGGTATTAGTCTCTGGGTTGCAGGTAACAATATGCAATGTACCAAATGCAGCCCACAAAGTCACGAGTCAGAGATTACAGGTAAGTAACAGAAAACCAAAACAGCTTGTTTTAGCTTGATTTCACGCATTTATGTACCAGCCAGTGGGGGTTACTTGTCTTGTTTGATAACCTGACGGATAAGGCTGACGAAATTCAGCATTTTTCTACAAATCTCATGAAATATCCAAAACCAACAATGAATTGATCCTATTAACTAAGTGTTGCCTGTGAATCCAAAGCCTGGAATATATTATTCCTCTGTGCCACAGAGTCCCATTTTAGTTACCATTAACACACACTATAGTGTGGTTTTGTGTTCATGTCTTTCCTGTTTAAGTCCATTTTTGGTTCTGTGTTTCTCTGTGTAGTCTTGTTTAGTTAGTTCTCAGTCCTGTGCTGTAGTTCATATCTTCAGCGTTCACTCCTGGTCTGTGTACTTCTGTGTTGTTTTGCCCATGTCTGCTCTGAGTTCTGTTTAAATCTTAGCTTCAGTCTGTGTTCCTTGTTATTAGTGTATTCGTGATCTGGATTAATTTGTTGTTTTTATTATTCTGATCTGTTACTTCTTAGCTTGATATGGTCCATGTTTAGTGTTCTGCAACTTGTGTTATGTCTGTTCCCCTCCAGTAATCTGTCTGCCAGTCTCTGATTTCCCCTTCTGTCTCTCTGCCTGCCTTGTTAGTCCTGATACTTGTCACCTGTGTTGCTCCCGCCCTGCCCCTGTGTATAAATGTTTGGTGTTTCTGTTCATTTCTTGTCTGGTTGTTGTTGCTGCTGGATTACCCTGCTTTTGCCTACCTCAGTTTGGATTCACTGTTGTTTGGACCAGTGAGAGCCTGTTTAGTTTTTTTGTTGGTTTAAATAAACCACCTGCCTCTGCACTCTGCCAACTCTGACACACTATAGTTTATTTTAGGTCAATCGCACATATATTGTCCTCACTCACTATTATTCCACAGCAGAAAGTACTCCCCAATAGATGCAATATTTACTCCAGTTTGAGAAACATGCCCAGCTGTTTTAGGAAATGTTTTTTTCAAATAAATAAAACTATATGTTTGTGGCCAGCTTTTTTAAGCTTTACATGTAAAGAATGGGCGAGTGTCACAGAAACAGAACAGAAGTCAGAAAGTACTGAGAGACTGACTAACATTGTTGGTTTTCTTTGTTTCATTGGATTTGCTTACAATAAGAGAACAATATATAAAATTGCCGGTCTTATCCTTTCTGAAGAGTTATTACATCAAGTTGGTGTGATTAGATTCAGTTACGTTTCGTCTGTTGATTCATTTCACTGAATGTGGATCCAAGTTTGTAAAGCTTGAAGAACAACTTAACCTTCAGTGGCAGTGATGTACATGTGTACTTCAGGAATCCGTGACATAACTGTTGGTTGCGGTTACAGGTGCAACAAATCATACTTCTAAACCACACCCAACCACACCCATCAGTGATGGTGGATGTGATATGGGTGAAACGTTCAACCACACACGGCTATGAAATATCTTTTCATTCTGGTGTTAAGTTCCTCTTTAAAGTCAGTTGATTTTTACCAACCTTTGCCAATAATTTGTTACCGTGTCTTTTTACCAACTTATGAAACGTGTACAAAAACACTTAATTCAGATAAACATCTGCACATCTGCTAGACTCTTTAGCAATCTCATCACAAAGACAGATGGCTTAAGTGATGCATGCTCGACAGTGCTAACAAATGTGATTAGAGAACAAAAGCTGCCTTCACAAGGCATTCAGAAGAATCTCAAACAGCAAAGGTCTGTGGTACTCTCGTTCTCAATTGAGGCATGGATTTGTGGAGCTTTAAAGTGAATCTATACTTCCTCCTGACACTGCGCCTACTCACATGGGGATCTTGGGAATTCTGAGGCTATAGATAGCACAGAAAAATCGATAGTGGGTGACACTGACAAAGAAGTCAGTTCATCCATTCCTTCCACTATTACATTTCTTTTCTTGATTTACTTTTACTGCACTTGTCTGAGCACCTGAATTGATGTCCAAGTGTGTTTTTCAGGCATAAGACATAAGAGCTCAACTGGCTTTCTGTCAGTCAGTCTAAGGATGGGTTCATATCAGCCTTGTTTAGTGGCTGTGTTTTCCCCCTTGGAGCGGTTCTTTTGGGTAGGTGTGAACACCAGACTTGAACTCTGGTGCGGACCGAGCAACTGCTCTCTGGTCCGACTCTAAGAAGTGGTCTCGCGTCAAGTGAATTGAGCAGGACTTTTCTGGTGTGAACACCATTCAAACCAATAATGTGTCATTTCATTGGTTAAAATCTTGTTTTACTCCTTTTTTTTTACTTGGCTGGTTTGCAGTACACATAACTCAGGCCCAAATACAAAAAAAAGCAAACCAAAAGGGCTCAAAGAAAATAACCCACTCAAACTAACTCATAGCAACGCTGGCAGGTGGTTTTAGCAGTACAGCTTCACCTTTGACGAGCAATCTCTGAGGAAGCATGAGCGAGGACCTACGAGACCAGCCAACACGCCCCCTTATTGGATATCTATTAAGTGGATGGTGTAGCTGATCGGACTGATCTGATGCATCACAACATAACTTCAGTTTCATATTGAACTGAAACTGAAAGTTTTATATTTGATTTGCTTTCTGATTCACTATATAATTAAAAATCTTTGTTCATGTTATGTCTTAACAGCAGAAGGACTAAAACAACTTTCTTCAATTAATAAAAAGACTTCTTTTCCATTATTTCTGCCATAAACTTTAATTATGGAGACAATTAAAGTCAGAGAGTCAGACAATCTGTCTGTCAGCAAGAAATACTGTTTATATCATTTATCATCATTTCCATTCAGTCACATGTGAGGCTGATAATTCCTTAGCATTTGCTTTGATATGAGCTACATAATTTCAATTTCCTCTGAAACATTTTGCCTAATAAATCAAAATACACCATGATGATATTCTGGGTTATTCAATAATGAATTCACAATCAGAATATCAATAAGTACATATGCAGGTAATGAGTAAATAATAGAAACACATTGTGCCAGTAGAAAGAATCCTGTGCCTCTGAGCAGGACACAGTGCACAGTATAAATACAGAAGGCAGGTTGTTCTTCATGTGCAGGTGTTTGGTAAACAGGTAACAGCTACAGAGAGACAACATGCTGCTCTGCACTGATAACTGTGAGACTTTATTAGTATCAGCACAGTGCACATTTATGCAAACACAAACTCCATCAGACGTCTTTACAGCTGTTAAAGCCAACTAACAAATGATCCAGCTGTGATCAGCTGCCATCGTCATCGGAAACAGACGCCGCTTCACGTGATGCTTCAGAGGAAAGGATGTCAGTTGTTAGTACAACTCACCTTGAGGGGAACACGAATGTCCAATAGTTGTTGAGATATTTTACTCACAACCTCAAATTTGAACCTCATGAGACCTTATTGAGAGAGTTCAGTCTGGATCAAAGGGTGGATGACCCACCGACTCACAGCAACTCACAAAGTGAGTACACCCGGCATTTTTGTAAATATTGTGCAAATATCTGTGCACTCACTGCTCACCTACAAAGCCATTCACCACCTGGCCCCTTCATACCTCACTGTCCTCCTCTCCCCCTACCAACCTTCGCGGTCCCTCAGATCCACCTCATCCGGTCTCCTCTACGTCCCCAAGTCCAAGCTCAGCAGTCTTGGGGAAAGAGCCTTTTCCAGGGCAGCTCCCAGGCTCTGGAACTCCCTCCCACATGAGATCTGCACCTCTGAGTCCCTCACCATTGTCCCGCCTTAAGACCCATATCTTCTCCTCTGCCTATCCCTAGCTGCTTATTTTATTTATTTGTTCATTTTATTTTATTTTATTTATTTTTTGTCATGTTTCTTTATCTGCTCTGTAAAGCGACTTTGAGTCCGTGAAAAGCGCTATACAAATTCAATTTATTATTATTATTATTATTTACATTGTAGCAAAGTGTCATTTCTTCAGTGTTGTCACATGGAAAGATATAATCAAATATTTACAAAAATGTGAGGGGTGTACTCACTTCGTGAGATACTGTATATTTCCATCCAATGTACTTCTTTCTTACTGTGGAGTGCGTGTCTTGTGTACATGACAGTAAGCAATTAGATTATCTCTAAATATTATTATATACTATTTGTCATATCATTTATATCGATGTGTCAGTAGTGTGGGGCTTGTTAACATCACTTTCTCTCTGCCACAAATTTGAAACTGATAGTTCATTATTGAGTACATAGCTTTAGTCTTTTTATACAACACATTATCCTGTATTGCATGACTGTACATTAATAAACACCTACGCTTTCAGTGTAGAAGTAGTTAAAGGACTCCACAGGATATGCAGAATATCGTTTGGGCAGGACATTGATTTCAGGTCTGTAAGTGTAGTTTGTAAATCAATTAACTGCAGTCTCACATCACCAAAATTGCCAAAGGAAAAGCAGCTGATTAGAAAAGAAATGACACAAACCAGTGGTCACCAAATGTTTTATATCAAAGCCATCTGTGTTTGTTTCCTGTGCATATTATTGCACATTATGTTATTTTATTATTGGGTAATACTTACAGCGTACTAAACAGAACACGAAACAAACATTTGGGGACATCCAGAAGAGGTTGTGCCAAGAATGTTAACTTGTAAGGTACTACAGTGGAACTTAATGTACATTTAGGTGGAAAGGATTCACTGACTGTGTATGTTTGCATTTGTGTTCTCTTCAGGTACACAGTTCTGGTGTCTTCTGGACATTGTACCCATTAAGAATGAAAAAGGTGAGGTGGTTCTATTCCTCGTGTCCCACAAAGACATCACTGACAAGAAGAAGGACCAGGATCCTGAGCAAGGACCTGACACAGGTGAGTTTATATTAAATTACAGCTGATGTAGTTCTGGTAATGGATGTAATGTTCAAATACAACTCGTGGAAAAGGAAAATATGCAGAAATTGCAGTAGATGGACATGGAATTGTTTATTGATTATTTTGTCAAAGCAGGATTCCCATGCTCAAGAATGTACCTTCAGAATTTTTTTATGCAAAGTATGAGATATATAATCTTCTATTCTAGTGGAGGATTGAAAAACACACATTTAACGGGGTTGTAGACGCTCTTCATAATCTACATTTTCTGGTATGACACATATCTTTTCATTATGTCAACCATGTTATATTTGTGGTTTTTATGATTCACAATGGCTGATTCAAATAAAAAGCAGGTTTCCTCACAGTCTTCCATGACAACGCCGTCATCTTGGCTGTACACTTTTTACATGATTTTAATAACCCATCACTACTGGAGAGGATGACAGCATGCAGAACATTTTCCCTGTCAGCGGGGAAGTGTCGCTGCAGTTACTGTAATTTTTAAGCAAACAACAATTGAGCATCAATTAATAATTTTCATCACTTTTTCCCCAGTGTAAATCTCACCCTGATTAAATAAGTGTCTGTCAATTTAAGGATTACATTAATATTAATGACTGATTCTATTAAATGCACATGGTGAACCTAAATAATAATAAACATCCTGTCAGAGATGACACATTCTGTCACCCAATATGATAATGCTGATACTTGTTGGAGGATGTTGCTGTTGAAATTAGCAAGCAGTATTTGTGATTAATTAGAGACAGTCAGGAATTAATTGCCAGCACTGAATATGCAAACTCCACTGACATATTTTTGTACACAATGGTTGACTTTAAGACTTTAGGAAATAAAAATACATCTTGTGAATTGTTTGAGCTTATCTTATATTCTAAGATAACCATCAACAATTTTAGTGAGACTGTCCTGAAGTGACGCACCCCATGACGACAAAGGTCCCCTAACCTTATGTAATGTGATTTTTCCCTTATCCAAACTTGATTAACCATAGTCTTGTCACAAAACAGGGATTTTGTCTTCTAACTTTTAGACTAAAAATCAGTTTGCCTACATAACAAAAGACCAATAAAAACGAATTTAATTGTAAATGTGTTGGATGCGTGGTTGTATTTTTTCTTGGAGCCACGTTATTGATTAACCCTCCATCAGTTCCTGCGCAGAGTTGTTTGGGACATGTCGAGCTGTTTGTGTGAAAACAGAAATCCCAGCATGCAAAGCTGAAAGTGCAGATCTGAATGTCTTTAAGCCTTATCTTGAATACTGTATGGTGTGTTCCAAAACTCTGTATTCAATGCTGTGTAATCTAAAGTAGCAGACATTATACTGCAAACATTGAATACACACTTAGGACAGATATTCAAATCTTTTAAACTTCTAATTCCTGTTGCCAGCACAAGCTGAGTTCACTACAGAGAACTTCAGAGTTGAATACCGACCCTGTAGAGAGATGGGGAGAGAAGCAGAGTAATCAAGACTCTTAAGATGAAGTAGGTTGTTTAAAATTTTAGTTCTTATAGATTGGCTTTCAGGGCTGCTGTCTGTAGTGCTTCCTGGTGGAAAAGAGCACCTGCTTGAAATCACTTAACCAATTTTCCCCCACTTGCCCAGACTCTCTCATTTGGCTGAATATCTCATTGCCTTACCCCCGAAATGATTGAAGGCTACTTTCATACACTCTGGCTGTGTTTTACACACTGCATGAGTTATTACATTTTAAATTCAAGCAATCAAATTCGGAGTGCAGTACACACCACAGGGGTCGGAGGACAAACAACAAAAAAGATTGAAAGGGAAGACGAGCGAGAGACAAAAGAGGATTTAAATGGCTTCTATTTTTGATTCATTGCTGAGACATAACTACAAGCATTAACATAACATTCTGTTTTCTGCTAAAATTAAGCACGTTTGGATGTGAAAAGAAAATGAAAGAGGGAAAAAGTGACAAACAACTAGAAAATAAAGGAACGGTGAGACTTAGACATTTATGGTGTGATGAGTTGACACAAACAATCACGTTTCCCTGCTTCTGCTCCTCAGTGGGAGTTCGCTGACGGGCTGAGCGGCTCACTTTGGGCACTTAGCTCAGCATGTTGTGCCTTTTCAAAACACAAAATAGGCTAGCAAGATGGGGGGGGGGGAATAAGAAGGACAGAGAAAGACAAGGGACACTTTGGAATAAAAGGAATAAAAATCTAAGAAAGACTGTACTCACTATACAAAGCTTAGTATTCATAAACACTCACAAAAGTACCTCTTAAAAACAGACACATGCAGGAATGCTTTACAACGTGTTCACACACGTATGCAATGTGTTAATTGGCTGTATTAATAATTCAAAATGTATAGCCAGCAAAATTTCCCCTCTAGCACACACAGGCTCCCCCAGAGAACTTACTGTATTTTCTGAAAACTAGCACTTTCAGTAATCACGGCATAATAAGAAGAATGGACCCTAAGGCATGTAAATACCATTTCCTTCATTACACGGTATTCCCTAATCTGCCAACAGCAAATGCATGTTGAGCAGTTCGCAAGGTGAACATGGAAATCACCCTTCTCTGCACATGAATCTGGTTCAACACCTTGAGTGTGAGGTGGAACAATGACCCTGACCTCAGCTCACTGCATCTACAGGAGTCATTCTGATGTTATCTCGGTGCATCTCCTCCTGGATGAATCAGGAGCTAGCTTGGCTCTGCCCAAAGGTAACGAAATCAACCTATCAGCACCTCTAAATTTAACATAATAATTCTAGTTTGTTTAACCCAGAAAAAAAGTGTAAAAACAACAATTTGCCATTTTACAAAGGGTTATGGACCAAACCAGTAACATCCTGGACTCTGGAGAGTGGTATTGATCTTCTCAACTCAGCAAGAAAGCCAATAAGCATATTTCCCAAAATGTCTTAACTGTTCCTTTAAGGTGTCAAAATGCTTGAAACAAACTAGGTTGAACAATGTATTATCTAACAACGTCTAAAGGCTGGGATGTTTATGGCTGTTACGAAAAGCCACACTCTTAAAGTAGAGTGAAAATCCAGGGGGACGAGGTGAGAGTTACATTTAGAATCAGAAACAGAATCAGAAGGAGCTTTATTGCCAAGTAGTGTTTTACACATACGAGGAATTTGCTGTGGTGATAAGGTGCTACATGTAGATAAATACACAGTTGACATAAATAAATGTAGAAATATATAAATATGGAATGGAAGAACAGCGTTGCAGATATATACATGTGCATTATTCTGGGTCTGTGCCGTGCAGAAGTAAGGTAACGGAAGAGAATATTGTGTACATATAAATATATAAACTGACAACATAAAAATATAAAACAACAAAGATCAACAATCAACAACAAATATGTGCAACGTGCCAGGTCTGTGCACGACTCGAGATGAAACAGTATTTACATGTGCCTTTTTATCATTTGCAAGAGGGGAGTGTCAGTGGGGGACCCGGGCCTTGTTAATGAGGCTAGCTGCAGATGGGAAGAAGCTGTTTTTGTGGCGAGAGGTTTTGGTCCTGATGGACCGCAGCCTCCTGCCAGAGGGGAGAGTCTGAAACAGTTTGTGTCCGGGGTGGGAGGAGTCAGCTGCAATCTTTCCTGCCCACCTCAGAGTCCTCGAGGAGTACAGGTCCAGAAGAGAAGGAAGATTGCACCTTCTCTGCAGAGCGAATGATAAGCTGCAGCCTGCCCTTGTCCCTGGTAGTGGCAGCAGTGTACCAGGTGGTGATGGATGAGGTGAGGATGGACTCAAAGATGGCGGTGTAGAAGTGCACCATCATTGTCTTTGGCAGGCTGATCTTCTTTTTTAAGAAGCTTAACATCAGGAAAGCAGAAGGGCCGGGTGGGATCAGTCCTGCTTTGCTTAGCCATTGTGCATTGGCGCCAGTATTTCCCACCATATTTAACACCACATTAAGCCAAAGTACAATCCCACAGTGTTTTAAATACTCCTGTGCCAAAGTCCTCAAAGATCACCTGCCTCAATGACTTAAGACCAGTTGCCCTAACATCTGTGGTTATGAATGAACATTATTCTGGCATAACTGAAATCCTGCACTTCCTCTCTGATGGACCCATATCAATTTGCCTACCAAGCCAACGGGTCCGTTGAGGATGCAATCAGCATAGCACTCCACCATACCCTGCAACACCTGGAATCACCAAACATCCATGTACATAGACTTTAGCCCCGCCTTTAACAATATTAACCCATTAAAACTCTTTATCACACTCTTGGACATGAACATTGACCCTGGATAAGGAGCTTCCTGTGGAATAGATCACAGAGGGTGAAGGTTAATAACATAACCTTACACCCTCTCACCCTGAGTGCAGGAGCACCTCAGGGCTGTGTTCTCTCCCCTTGGCTCTTCTCCCTTTACAACGCCCACTTTACACCCATGGACACTTCAGTGAGAACAGTAAAGTATGAGGACAATCAATGAACACCAACACAGCCAAAACCCAGGAACTCATTATTGACTTTAGATTTAGGCCCCAAAACACCCATACAAATAAACAGCAACCCAATCACCATCATTCCTAGGAACACACATCAGCAATAACTTGAAGGTGACGACTAACACTTGTTGAACACATCATTGCAAGAGCTCAACAAAGACTTTACTTCCTCAGGCAGCTTAAAAAATACCCGGTCAAGCACCAGCTCCTTGTTCTGTTCTACTCGGCTGTCAATGAGTCCATCATTACATCATCGATCACAGTATGGTATGGTAGCACGGACAGCCAAACAAAGAAAAAAATACAGCAAACTGTCAACAAAGCATCCAAGGTCATAGGAAAACCACTGCCCTCAGCTGATTCCCTCTACACACATCGGACAGTAAAGCAAGCAAAGAAAATCATCTGCGACCCCTCACATCCTGCTCACCACCTCTTCCTCCTTCCCTCAGGGAGGCGCTACAGGTCACTCTCTACCAAGACCAAACGCTTCACAAATAGCTTTTTTCCCCATAGCCCTCAGGCTCTGAACTCCTTCCTTCAGTTTAGTTGCCTTCTCTTACATGGTCATTTGCCCACTGTATTTATGTTACATGTTGTTACATGTTGTGCAGTGTATTGTTATTTGTTGTTCGTAATGTATGCATGTGATGTAGAGCTTAAACATCCTGTACCGAAAACAAATTGCACCGGTATTGTCGTGTGTCTAATAAAACAATCTAATCTAATCCAAAAGCCGTCATTGTAAAGTCATATTGCACTGACACTGGTACACGTGTAGTCTGAAAGGGGTTACTATCAGCACTGAAGCATTTAAAGTTGCTCCCGAACGTGGGTTTAAATGCAGGTTTCTCATTGTCCATCTGCTTTGCCATCTTTTAACATGCAAAGGATGGCAGCCTTTAACAAATTAACCTCACAAAGCCCACTTGTGTTGTCTTTTCAAATACAACTGAGACACTTAAACGAGGCCAGCTGGTGCCATAAACATGCAATCAATAGTTTATTGTTAGTGTCCATCTTCTGTACCACACTTAAGAAAAGAGCTGCTTTCAGTCTAAATATAGACACTAAAACATATCTGTCATTCTTTCCCAGCTACTTTTTTATTACCAACGTCAGGGTGCATGTAGAAGGGGACACTGAATAGATTTTTTTAGGCAAATGGATTGGACAATGCTGCATCCATGCTATGATATAGAATGGTATAATATACCATAAATATATACAATGCAACCAAAAGGATATTATGGGCCAAGTCTTCGGTGCTGTGTAGCCAGTCCAGAGTAACTAGGAAGATGGTAGGTAGGCAGACTCAGACATCTTCTGTTCCCAGAGGTGATTTTATTTACTGAGGTCTGCAGTACACAGATAACACAAACAATAACAAAAGGATAAATAACTCACTCAACTTATAGCTATGCTCACAAAAGGCACGTGTTTGTAGCAGCACAGCTTCACCTCTTTCCCTTGGAAGCAAAAATGTAACTGTAATTAACTTACGATTGTGTGTTTACTTTAACTTATCATATGCTTAGCTGTAGACTGTAACAATCCAGGATATTAAGTGGTGCACTTTTACACAAGCCATAGAAAATTACAAAAATAAACACTAGTGTAAATTAATAGGGTGTAATGTGGATAATGACCTGTATGGGACAAGTGGTGCTACTTTGTCACACTCAGCAAAAAAGGTGGTCTGGGTAGGTTTCTCAGTCACCTGTTTATCCTGGTGCAGCCAATCTGGCCAATACATGCTGGAAGAAACACAACCGCATGGCAGGAACCTTTAAAGTTGCACTCCACAATCCTTGTTTTATGCAAAAATGTTTTCCAAAGGTTAACTGAAGCTAATATGAGGCCACAGTAGCCCAAGTTAGACAAACTAAGTGGATTCTTTTAACTTTGTATAAAACTTCCTCTTTTTTTTCCCTAGACGGTGTTTCCATGTCGAGCTTCATTAGAGGGATAGTAACAGGGATAGTAAAAGGGACTAAAAAACTGACGACTGAAGCCTTCAGAAAAACTACTAATTCCACTGTGGACCCCGTTATTTACATTGAAAGGAATCGCTGAATGGTCACTGTGAACAGGAGGAATGATTACAGCGTTTAAAATTGTTTCAATGTTCAGATCGGCACCTGGTTATTGTTTTAGACAGATTTAAAAAAAAATTGAACCTATCCTTTAATGCAATGTATTTCCCATTGAAACAGGTGTGTGAGGGGTCAACCCCAAGTGTAAACCAATGTTATCAAATCAAACTGCCTTTCACTCCATAGCTAATAGCCCATTAGTCATGGAGATAAAAACAGAAGGGCAGTTCTTGTGGCTTTATTTGTTTGTTTGCTTTTAGTTACAGAGTTAAGCTGGATGAATAAGCATGATGCACTGTTTTTCTGGAAGTAGTAGTTTTCAAGGAAGTTCACCTGTCAAATTCATCCTCCACTGATCTTGAATAGAGATATAGTTATTCTTTCGTCTTTAAAAGGAACTAGAATACCCTGCTTGTACGTACAAACTCTTTTTTTTTTACCATTTCTATGCACCTAGTTTTTCGTGTTCCTGTAAACCTTCCTAGAAGAAAATTGTCTCTAACCCTACGTGTTAATAGTAATCGACCTTTGAATAACTCCCAACTGCATGGCTCATACAGGAAAAAGAAACAGCTACCAGTAGCAATAATGGTTAGTTTCTCTGTGCACCATCTGAACAGTTTGAAGTCATGACATGATGAGCAAATCAAATTTACTGGCTGAAAATGAAAATGATTTGGTTACAGGGGTGTGTATTTGCAAAGCATGACATCATATTGTGTACAGACAGAGGGACAATCACAATAGGAAATGTAAAGTGGAAACTGGGAAACAGATTTTCTGCCTTGGAGATGGCTTAACAGAAAAAAACAACTCCCTTAATCTACCTACTGTACTTCCAATGCCTCTTTACCATCAGTTTGTATTCTTTGTTTGCCTCCATACCGTCCCTAATCTTATCTTTCATTATTCAATAAATGACAAAAAGAATGACTTGAATGAGACGCTGGAGGCATTATTGATTCTGTTCTGTAAATACAGACCTGGATCTCAGCCTATATCATCTTATTCTACCTAAAGAACATCTTGTTTAGTCAATATAGAGCCACAAAGGCAGACAGCAGGTCAATATCACGTCAAATATTTACACAAAAACTTGAGCATCATGTGTGCATCAGCATATAGAGCTGGCACAGAAGAGTTGGGATCTATAGGGACATACACTCCCAAACATGTTAACAAAGAGAAGTGGTTTGACACATGTGAGACTGAATGTTACTTCAGTGAGACAGCATCATGGTCTAACTTGGTTTTCATGAGGTAAGATGGTTTAGGACGTGGTACAGGTTCACTTCCTGACTGCCTCAGACCTATAAAATATAGCTGTTAAAGCACAATCTCAGGGCCAAGATAAACCAGTGTTTGAGTCAACATGTTAAGGAGCTTGGTTTAAAGTCTTACCCTGTGTTGTTGTGACTGGATTGTGGCTCAGCATGTTACCTTCTCCTCCACAGATGAGGAGACAGGTTTGGAGGTGCATCAGGTTACTCGCCCTCCAGGCTTCAACGCCAACCGGCGGCGCAGCAGAGCTGTTCTCTACCACCTGTCAGGACACCTGCAGAAACAAGACAAGAGCAAGCTCAAGATCAACAATGTAAGTTTCTCCGCGTTTGTCTACACGGGTACGTTTATACAAAAGGGTTTAATCTACTGCCATGAAAAGCTGGATTAACATCGCGGTCAGTAACACAGGTTTGTTATGTTTCATCTCATATTTTAGAAGTGATGGGATGTTTGGTTGCCAGAAGATGTAGTGCAGGCCAAAAATACCCACAGAGTGCCCTCTCGTGTAATGATTATTCTTAGTTTTGAGATTTTTGCATTGATGATTAAATTCAAGTCACAGAGGTGAGGATAAGTTTCTCTGAAGGATAAATATAGTACAAGCCGAACTTTTAGAGCCCCTGCAGGTTGTTCAACGGCAATCTGTTTTGAAGACATTTCATCAAAGACTCTTTTATCCAAATGCAAAAAAAGTTTAATTATTTCCCAAGTTGTTTCTTAAACCAAACAACAAGGATCTTTCAAAGTCTGGCTTGCATTTAGATTATCATAAGACGCTGCGCTTAGTCCACTAGTACTAAAACATCCCACGCAGACTTCAAGGATCACAATCAGGGGATGATTACTGTAGCAGCCCAGCGTTGTGGTACTCGTGTGTTCACCACAGTGTAGGTCTGCTGCAGCACACACCCTGACAGATGGTGTGAAGGTCATCAGGAGTATCCTCACTTCTTTTTGACTTTGGAGGTGAAAAGCTCTGCATTTCGCTGATGTCAGTGATAAAACAAACATGCAGATTTATGCAGTTTGAATCTCATTTATTGAGGGATGCTGCTTAAATAGGGAATTTAGAGACATTTCGTAGTTAAAACGTTAATAAATAGAAGCTCATTTGCGTTCCCTCAGTATTTTCACTTTCTATTTATGTGGCTTTTTCTGAGGTGAAAATTGAAAGAAGACCCTTTTTGTGGTAAGCAGTGTCCTCAAGCAGGAAACACAACTTGATGATTAAAGAGGACATAAAATCTCTGTGAAAATCGAATAAAATCTGATCCTTCACCGTGAAAATACTTTATATGTGCAAGCTAATTATCCATTTGAAACTAATGTTCCCAATTGTCTTCTTAATTGCCTCCTTAAGTTGTGAAAAACATTTTTTCCACCATATTTGACATCCTTTTCTATCTGCCTTTTCCAGTGCTGAATCAAAACTGTAATAAGACATACCTAAAATTATTGAGATACAGTTTTTATGGCTGCACTGTTGCAGCAAATGAAAGACTTTAGATGTCCTGTGAATCATGTTATATCAATTTTATACAAACTGTATACTGTGTTCATCCTGCACACAGTACAGTACTATTACTTTGTGGTAAATGGTAAATGGACTGAACTTGAATAGTGCTTTTCTAGTCTTCCAACCACTCAAAGTACTTTACATTGCATGTCACATTAACCCATTCACACACATTCATACACTGATGGCAGTGGCTATTGGATTTAAGAAACTAATACGTTCACACACACTCACACCATCAAGGCCAATTTGAGGTTAGGCTGAAGGACGCTTCAACTTCAATCATGACTTGAATTTGTACAACACTTCTGTGGGTTTTCATAACAGCTGTCTGCTCACCATGACCTTGGAGAGATTCAGTAAGTTTTTGTGTGTGTGTTTTGGGTAGAGGGAGAAAGAGAGAGATGTAAAAAGTGTAAATCTGGAACATGAGAAAGAGAGAGCGGTGTTAACATCTCTCTCCCTGTCATCTAATGCAGAACATGTTCGGGGATAAGCCTCCAATCCCGGAGTACAAGGTAGCAGCCATTCAGAAATCTCGCTTCATCCTGCTCCACTATGGAACTTTCAAGGCTGGCTGGGATTGGTTGATTCTGCTGGCGACCTTCTACGTGGCCGTCACCGTGCCCTATAACGTGTGTTTCACAGTGGTGGGAGGGCGGGATGAAGGGAGCAGCAGCGCCCCACGAAGCCCGCCCAGCGTCAGCGACATTCTTGTAGAGATCCTGTTCATTTTAGGTGAGAGTGCATACTGTGTTTGTTAACAAGGTTCCCTCTACAAGGTAATCTTTCCACCAACATATCTGCTAAAACATGGTTTAAGTCTACAGTCAAATTAATTCCTTTCATGCTCGTACTCATAGAGGACACACACCTGAACACACATTCAAGCTGATGTTCACACTTGTTTGATAAACGATAACTTCTTTAAAACACCAATAATTAACAAAATTTAAACATTGGCATTTGTTCAGCGTTGTATTTACCACCCCTGATGGGAGGGCAATAAAACAGCCTATATCTGAGAGGCTCAACAGTAATAATAAAAGTTTTGTTGAAGTTTTTAATGATGCATACACAGCAGTGAAAGGATATGAGCCATTCACGGGAGACCATTACGTCTCATTGCTATCTAATTTCCTATAAAACAACAGGCCTTTTTGTCCCCAGTCTTGTCCATCTAACTGTAGGAAACTTGGATAAGTGCTTTTCATTGGACAATTTGCCTTAATGGAAAGAGTGAACACAAGCCCTCCATCAATAAGCTTATGCAATGAAATTATACAAGCGGCACACAGTTAAATGGCTGACTCCTGTCAGTCGATATCCTGTCTGTTATAAATAATAGGCCAGCTTGTTTGTCAATACGTTCCCTCAGCAAACAGTAGTGGATTAAAATGTGCCATTAGGCTTCAGATTATTCGTTTGTTCCTGTTAATATGCTGCTTTTCCTAAACTAACTACATCCTAAAGAGTCTTGTTAAGACCTGAAACATGGAATAGTTTGTTACCATAAGGCGGGTTTTGACATGTTTCAGCCATTTAATAACAAAGTGCATTTTCTGTATCTTACAGCACTGCTTTTTTGTAAGATATGTTCAAAGCTTCGCTATTACTTAAACTAAAAAGGTTGCAGCTAACTCTTATGTTTTGGATGTCAGTGTTCCTAAATGCACCAACTGGAAGGTGTTTTTTAACTGTCTGCTTGCTTTAGATGATCTTTAACTTTGAAACATAAAAAAGTAAAGGCAACAAAATGTTTCCTGTAATAGATAACTGGAGTGTAAAGTCCCCTTCTCCTCAAACTTTTATTTTACTTCCTCTTCTTTGACTTGGGTGTTTGAGCTTCACTGCGCAGAATGATGATATTTAGTTTGACACTAGGAGGAAAGAAAAATGACCTTTAAGAGTTTATCTATTGGGTTTCATATTGTGTTAAAAAAAGGGAAATCAGTTGCTCCCTGAAATATAATAAATTAATCTATAAACTGATTCTGATGCTTTAAAAAATGATCATTGTAGTATAAACATTTTTTTAATCCCTGATAGGCCAGACCTGCTCAGTGTTTTAAAGAGGTCATATTATGCTAATTTTTAGGTTCAAAATTTAGGGGTTGTACCAGGACAGGTTTGCATGGTTTCATTTTCAAAAAACACCATATTTTTTGTCATACTGCACATTGCTGCAGCTCACCCTGTGTGTTGAACGCTTCGTTTTAGCTATGGAGTGATACATCTTACCTCTACAAGATCTTTGTTGGCAGTTGCACATGCGCAGTTCCTAGGTAAGGACTACTAGCCAATCAGAAGCAGAGTAGGGCGGACCCTGAGAAGCCGGTAAACACGGCTTTGGTTCAGCTGTACATGTTCCCCTTACCAGCTTAGCAACATGGACTGGAGCAAGAGTTTCAGAGTGAGTTCTTAATCTGTAACAAAAGTATATTTCATCCATAAAGTTTTAACTGAGCTCTGTCTCTACACAGTAACAACTTTATGCCCATTGAGTGTCAGGAGGGTAGCTAGTGTTTGAAAGGGAGAGGAGAGGCAGCAGACGGACGTCTTGTCACTGTGTGCTGCAGCTCAGATGTTTTTGAGGACTTGTCGGACTAGTTGCTTGGCGAGCATTACGACGCGCATTTTGCTGTGAGGTCACAGGGATCAAAGAGAAAAGGCTGGACAACAAAGCTTTTTTCAGACAGTTCAGAGCAGAGTTTTCTGTGTGATATGGGAGCTCCCTTTGGGCTAGACTTTAAGCTTTTTCTCTTTGCAAACCTATTACATGCACAAAAAAAGATATATAACTCAATAAAGGAGAGGGAAAAAGCCAAAAGGCATAATATAACCTCTTAACCATTGTGCGTGACTAAATAAAGACACTTAGTTTAACTTTTCGCTTTGCTCTGCCTGATTAAAGTTACCTGTTCAAGTTACCAGCAACTTCAGGGGCCCTTTGTCTTGACATACTGTGCTGAACCTCTATGGACCTCTATGCAGTCTATTAGATTACAGTGGTTTTCAGTTTATGAGTTGCTGACATGTCTTTTTTTCTGTTATGATCAAAGTGACTTACATGTGATTCACTGAATAGCCGCTGCTCTGTATGTTGTTCATCATCACATAACACTCATTTATCAGTGACACCTGTACTATCCTGTTTTCTTGCCGTCAGCTTCTGCTGTTGTTGTCATCCTCTGCAGACATATTGCTGAACTTTCGAACTACTTTTGTGAGCACGTCGGGTCAGGTAGTGTACGACGCCCGCTCCATCTGCGTTCACTACGTCACCACTTGGCTCTTTGTCGATCTCATTGCCGCCCTGCCCTTTGACCTGCTGTATGCTTTCAACGTCAGCGTGGTGAGTCTCCTCTGTGTGTGCTGTTGCGTGTTGTGTGTGACAAATCAGGCTACTTAATTCACCTTTTTTTTTTCAGGAAAGAAAAACACTTTAATGTGGACATACTCCCTGTCTACTGTGCGTTCATTATCCACACTAACACGCCGATGGTAACGAACCAAATTCGGAGGAAGGGAGAATTAATGCATAATGTCACAGGCTCCCTTGTGAATGTATTAGATCAACATTTCATCCAAACTGATGTTCATCAGAGATGGCGCAGAGCCAATCTGATGTTGGTGCACATACTGCAAGTCTCATTAATCTGTATTTCCATGCTCAGAATCCTAAAAGATGATTCGAACTGTCAGCTAAATTACTACACATGCATGCAAAATGAGTATGAAGACCCATTTTCAAATTCTAATTTGGAGTAGAAAAATGCTTAATTTCATATTAAGAATGAATTAAATTTCCATATTTTGAATAAAACTGTCAAATACACAAGCAAGTTATTCATAGCACATGCTGAAAGAAATGGTCATGTTTTAAAGAATACTCTGTAATTTAGATCCCTGAGTATGAAAATGATAGCACTTTTGCAGAATGCTGCCTTTTTATACTATATTTAAGGAATACTGAAGGTTGAGACTGTGTGTGTGTGAACCGGCGTGCTATGTATCTCTCTGTGCAGTACTTTGGGGTCCACCTGTTGAAGACTGTTCGGCTGCTTCGGTTACTGCGACTGCTGCAGAAGCTGGAGCGATACTCCCAGTACAGCGCGGTGGTTCTCACTCTGCTGATGTCCATGTTCGCCTTGCTGGCCCACTGGATGGCCTGCATCTGGTACTTCATAGGTCGCAAGGAGATCGAAAGTCCCGGTTCCTGGGATATTGGTGAGTACACACTTTTTTCACCTACACTCTGTTGGAAAGTACATTTACTAGGAGCTTTTATTAAGTATAGCTTTGTGATAAATTTGCTTTTGTATTTTTATGCTACTTTTCACTTCTACTTCACTACCTTTATGTGACAGCTATAGTAACTTTACAAATACAAAATTCTCATACAAAACATGTCATCATCATATTAAATTTGATATATTGTTATAGAAGAAAGTGCTGAACACTATAATGTAGTTAAAATTTTCTCAAGCTCAACCAGCTGCATCATTAAAATACTATTTACATATTGATGTATCAATAATAAGAACCCAGTAATATTTCTCTTAGAATACTCTGAAAGGGGCCATTCCACATAATGACCTTAAACTTAGACATGTTATACTTTAAGTGCATTTTGTTGGTAAAACTTGTGTACTTGTAGCACCTTTTTAAAAAAGATTTAATTGGATAGTGCAGCTGAAGAAAGACACAAAGTGTGGTAGAAAAAGAGAGGGGGTGAAATGCAGTCAAACGTGGGCCGCTGCAACAAGGACTCAGCCTTAGTACATGGGGCGTGCGCTCTTTCAACTGAGCTAACCGGCACCTTCACCGGCACGTACCACTTCTTAATACAGTCTATAACCGGCACCCAAATGCAGCACTTTTTAATAATTGTGATAATTTATGAATTGTGGTATTGTAACTTTTACATTTTTTTGTTAAATTTTTGAGTTAAATGAGAAGATTGAAAACACTTATTTCTGTCCGTTAAATATTAAGCTACAGCCAGCAGTTGCTTACCCTAGCCTAGCATAAGACTGGAAACTGGGTGAAACAGTTGGTCTGGCACAAAACCAGCACCTCTAACGCTCACCAATTAATATGTTGTTGTTTTAAGGAGGGTTATGTGTGATTGGCCTTCCTGGAGTCTTGTTTTTGGTTAAAAAAATATATAAAAATCTGGTAGGCAGATTTTGTTATCTTCTGAGAAACTCATTATGCCTGTTTTCCCTTGTTTCTAATCTTTGTGCTACTTTACAGATATGCAAGGTATCAATCCTATCATCTAGCTCTCTGCAAGACAGAAATTAAGAGTATTTTCCCAAAACGTAAGCTGTCCATACAGTTGATCTGTACAGACGTCAATCATTGAACGTACTTTAATAACGTTCACTTGTTGCCATGTTGTCAAGGCCAAATAAAACCCCCCATTAGGTATTTACAGGAAATTGTACACTCCTCAGATCTAAATTTAGTTTCTGGAGCAGCTTTATGGTCCATTTTCTCTTGGTGGTGAGCTTTTAGTGTACAGTTTACTGTAAGGTTTTAATTTTCACTATGCATGTACTATAAATATCCTCCCAGTCCCAGACACCAGACTTTCATTTGGGAAAATTGAATAAATGTACAGCATCACAGTTCGAAAAGATTGGATATTCGATCACTCTTCTCAATTATACTGTGATCTCTGTCCTCAAGAAATAATTTTACGATTCAAACGCAGACAAATGCAGACGAAATGAGATCTTTTTTCAGCCAAGATTGTGGTTTAGTATGATGAGATGCTTAGTTCAGCTTTAGCCATTTGCACATTCACCTACCTCATCTTGTGTGAAAGTGATGTCAGTAATTTTGTATTCACAACAAAGGCAGAGAAGGAGTTATGCAAAGGGACGGCCCCCACGTGCCTCAATTTTCAGCACGACCGATGCTTTTAATAAAACGTTGCTTTGTTGATATTCCACAAGCTTCTCTCAGTGGAGTATCTCAAATCCTGCGGGCGACATGAAGCCCTGGCATACAATCTGATAAACTTGTAAACACGTACAAACAGACAGGCAGTTTCCAAGGGAGCTAACTTTAATCTCTTTGACTGTGAACTGGGGCAAAGATCAACTTCACTCTTTCTGTGTCACAGACACAAGCAAGTTTTTGAGTTGAATAAAACATTGTGAATGAGCATGTTTTCCAAGCTATGGACCTGACTCAGGGACACATAACGAGATGTATACTCCTGTTGCTTCTCTGCCTTTTCTGTTTTCAGTGTAGTCTCCCCCCCCCCCACCACCGCCATCTGTCTCTCTCAATCTCGCATTGATTTGCACCAACCGACCTATCATTATCCTTTCAGCAAGCCACATAATGACACACGGTAACATTGCAGTCAATTCATGTCAGCGGCACCTCAATTTACAATTCAGACAGACAGAAGGAATCCAGTAACAAAGACCAATCTGACCTTTCTGCAACACTAACTGTGATTCACAATAGAGGTCTGATATCGGTGTGTACATACTGGTAAGTAGAACTGCTCTGTCTGTCAGTAAGTCAGCTGGGAGAAGTACAGTTTTTGTCTGCAGGGCTATCAATAATTCAAAGGCAGTGGAGCCACGGCCCACCTCACAGCCCCTCATGGAGCTGTAGTCAGCATATGCACACGAGCCACAGTCTACTGATCAGGACACAAAAAGAGGATAAAGAAATGGACATGTATGTTGTGTAAAGGAAGCTTTTGACGCATGACGCCAGGTTGTGTTGTTTAGAGCCAGAAAATCCAAAATTCAACAACAACACCTATCAAACAAGCGAAAACAACCCCAAATATACAGTACCCTTCTTTAAAGGCTCAGTAATTTCAAAAAAACAGTTGTACACTGTAGATTTGTATCAAATGTTTGTAAAATGGAGGACAGTGCCTTTGTTGGAGACTATTTTCAGCCGTGGATTAACACACATTGAGTATTTGTGGCACCAGGATGGAGTATGAGGTATTGACTTGCTGTCATGAAGGGACATGTCTTTAATTGAGCTCTATTCCACAGAATAATAAGGTATATCAAAGCCAAATGTGGCTACACAGGCAGTACTTTATAGTAGGATCAGTTAATTGTTGGTTTTGGTCTTTTCCTGTGATTTGTTGACAATGACAAATGAAACCAGCTTTATCCTATAGATACTTCACACTGGCTTCAACAGTCAGCTGGTGATTGCCACATGATCAGGAAAAGACATTTACATTTATTCATGTGGCTTTTATCCAAAGCGACTGACATTTGAGGAACAACATACAAGCATCAACCGAGCATCAAAGCAGCAAGAGATCTAAAAGTGACAATAGATACTAGTAAGGGCAGCAATAAATACTAGTAAGAGCTATTAGCACGTGTGGCATCGAACGGGAAAGAAGTAAGAGTTAACAAAATAGTGCAATCAACACAAGAGAAGACCACTCAGGTGGTGATTTTGTTGTATTCGGCTGTGGAGCAGAATTGACTCTTTAATCATAAAATGTGTGCTCTTTTATCTGTCAGATCTGTCAGCAGACAAGCACACAGGAGGCTACTTAGACCTTCCAACGCTGCTTGAAAAGGCAAATGCACTCATCTGAAAGCAATATAACTCTTCCACTTGCTCTTCTTGCTGAAGTATGAATTTTTGCTGCTTTTCCATTACGACTTGCTTTTGTGGACTGAACAGCATCCATCCTTATTCCTGAGAGAAGGGATTAAAGAGATTAAGATGTGTGGCACAGATGTGTAGGACAGCGGCAAAAGGTCACTTTGCCTGATCACATCAGAAAGCAGCACAGTAAAACTCCTCTTGAAACAGGTGATGCTGGAAGCTTGGTGATGAAGTGACTACTTGCAGAGATAAATGCGAGCATTTGTGGCTGGCGAGCTGGTTGATAAATCTAGCACCTGCCTGCCGTAATAACCTGCCACGTTAGCTTTCTTGCTAACTGTGAATTCGCAAGTTATACTGAACAAAATTATAAACGCTTTTGTTTTTGCCCCCATTCATCATGAGCTGAACTCAAAGATCTAAGACTTTCTCTATGTACACAAAATGCCTATTTCTCTCAAATTGTGTTCACAAATCTGTCAAAATCTGTGTCAGTGAGCACTTCTCCTTTGCCGAGATAATCCATCCACCTCACAGGTGTGGCATATCAAGATGCTGATCAGACAGAGTAAGTATTGCACAGGTGTGCCTTAGGCTGGCCACAATAAAAGGTCACTCGAAAATGTGCAGTTTCACTGTAATAGGCAGGTCCGAAAACCAGTATCTGGTGTCGCTGTCTGCCCTCTGCCCTGTACAGTGAAAACCGGGATTCATTCGTGAAGAGAACACCTTTCCAAAGTGCCAGACACCATCAAATGTGAGCATTTGCCCATTCAAGTCTGTTACGATGACGAACTGCAGTGAGGACGAGACCCCAATAATAATAATAATAATAATAATAATAATAATAATAATAATAATAATCTTTATTTGTAGAGCACTTTTCAAAAACAAGTTACAAAGTGCTTTAGTGCTTTTAAGTGTAAAGACAATAATACCCAAGAGACAATAATACAAAAACAATACAAGATAAAAGCATGCAAACATTGAAAAGACTACAATACACGTTTAAGATAAATATAGAATTAGTAAAATACAATAAAATAAAAGGGATAAAATAAAGTCAAATAAGATTGGGAAAGGCTCTCCTATAAAAGTATGTTTTAAGAAGGGACTTAAAGGAGTTCAATGAGGACGACGAGCATGCCGATGAGCTTCCCTAAATCGGTTCCTGACAGTTTGTGCAGAAATTCTTTGGTAATGCAAACCGATTGTTGCAGCAGCTGTCCGGGTGGCGGGTCTCAGATGATCTTGGAGGTGAAGATGCTGGATGTGGAGGTCCGGAGCTGGTGTGGTTACACGTGGTCTGCGGTTGTGAGGCCAGTTGGATGTACTGCCAAATTCTCTGAAACGCCTTTGGAGACAGCTTATGGTGGAGAAATGAACATTCAATTCACGGGCAACAGCTCTTGTGGACATTCCTGCTGTCAGCATGCCAATTGCACGCTCCCTCAAAACTTGCAACATCTGTGGCATTGTGCTGTGTGATGGAACTGCACATTTTCGAGTGGCCTTTAATTGTGGCCAGCCTAAGGCACACCTGTGCAATACTTACGCTGTCTGATCAGCATCTTGATATGCCACACTTGTGAGGTGAATGGATTATCTCGACAAAGGAGAAGTGCTCACTAACACAGATTTAGACTGATTTGTGAACAATATTTGAGAGAAATAGGCCTTTTGTGTACATAGAGAAAGTCTTAGATCTTTGAGATCAGCTCATGATGAATGGGGGCAAAAACAAAAGTGTCGCATTTATAACTTTGTTCAGTGTAGCTAGCTTGATTGCTGACTGAACAGTTTATATTAGAGACATATTTGCCCCATTGACTCCTGTCTCAGGACTGACTGAAAACCAGGCCAATTTTGTGGATTTTATACTCTGTCAGAGAAGAGTTCTATAAAATTGGATGTCGCATCACAGCAAATTTGATATAGCTTCCTCAATGTTCGAATCTCTAGCTCTCCATTTCTTAAATGGTTAAATACATTTTTATGTGAGTAGAGTATAGAAGACAGGGGTTCAGGACCACAGACAGCTCACAAGTGAGTTCAGTCAACTCTGCTAGACAGAGGGGAGAAATCAGCACCGTGGACAGAGGCAGAGGCTCCATAGGAATTCATTTCAATGTTTTTGGACAATCTGATTGCAATTCGTCTTTGTTTTCCTGCAAATCAGGGTCGGCCCTCCACATTCATTAATACTTCTATGATAGTCACATAAATGTAGTTAAATTCAAGTTAAACCACATGAAAACTTTCAAAAACAGTCCTATATTCAAAATCTTGCTTAAGTAAAAGTACAAAAGTATTACCAAAAGTACATGTAAATGTACGTATTCTGAAGAATGGGAAATTTCTGAAATGTATAATAACTAGAATTAGTGGTGCATTCAGTTGTTTATCTCTTTAATGTTGCTCGTGGTAATTCCAGCTACTTTATATACTGCTGGGTATCTTAAAAATAATTCATTGGTTGATTTATACACTCACCTAAAGGATTATTAGGAACACCTGTTCAATTTCTCATTAATGCAATTATCTAATCAACCAATCACATGGCAGTTGCTTCAATGCATTTAGGGGTGTGGTCGTGGTCTAGACAATCTCCTGAACTCCAAACTGAATGTCAGAATGGGAAAGAAAGGTGATTTAAGCAATTTTGAGCGTGGCATGGTTGTTGGTGCCAGACGGGCCGGTCTGAGTATTTCACAATCTGCTCAGTTACTGGGATTTTCACACACAACCATTTCTAGGGTTTACAAAGAATGGTGTGAAAAGGGAAAAACATCCAGTATGCGGCAGTCCTGTGGGCGAAAATGCCTTGTTGATGCTAGAGGTCAGAGGAGAATGGGCCGACTGATTCAAGCTGATAGAAGAGCAACTTTGACTGAAATAACCACTCGTTACAACCGAGGTATGCAGCAAAGCATTTGTGAAGCCACAACACGCACAACCTTGAGGCGGATGGGCTACAACAGCAGAGGACCCCACCTGGTACCACTCATCTCCACTACAAATAGGAAAAAGAGGCTACAATTTGCAAGAGCTCACCAAAATTGGACAGTTGAAGACTGGAAAAATGTTGCCTGGTCTGATGAGTCTCGATTTCTGTTGAGACATTCAGATGGTAGAGTCAGAATTTGGCGTAAACAGAATGAGAACATGGATCCATCATGCCTTGTTACCACTGTGCAGGCTGGTGGTGGTGGTGTAATGGTGTGGGGGATGTTTTCTTGGCACACTTTAGGCCCCTTAGTGCCAATTGGGCATCGTTTAAATGCCACGGCCTACCTGAGCATTGTTTCTGACCATGTCCATCCCTTTATGGCCACCATGTAACCATCCTCTGATGGCTACTTCCAGCAGGATAATGCACCATGTGAATCATTTCAAATTGGTTTCTTGGACATGACAATGAGTTCACTGTACTAAAATGGCCCCCACAGTCACCAGATCTCAACCCAATAGAGCATCTTTGGGATGTGGTGGAACGGGAGCTTCGTGCCCTGGATGTGCATCCCACAAATCTCCATCAACTGCAAGATGCTATCCATCAATATGGGCCAACATTTCTAAAGAATGCTTTCAGCACCTTGTTGAATCAATGCCACGTAGAATTAAGGCAGTTCTGAAGGCGAAAGGGGGTCAAACACAGTATTAGTATGGTGTTCCTAATAATCCTTTAGGTGAGTGTATTTTGTATTAATAATCTGAATGTACAAAGTAACTGCAGTGGCAACTAATGTTATCAAATAAATGTAGTGAAGTGAAAAGTACAATATTTACCTCCAAAATGTGGAATTGTAGAAGTATTAAGTAGCATGAAATGGAAATACTTGAGTAAATGTACTTAGTTACATTATATGTCTTCAGTGATGCAAAAGTTATTGTAGCGTGGTCCTACATAACGTGTTATTTGCTCCACATTCCCTTATGCATTGGCAAGAAAAAAAAATCTTTGTACTTTAGTTTTTATACTTTGGTCCACATGCAGTAAAATGTCTTTGTCGGGTCCGCATTTCCTCAGGATTGCGGAGGTTAAGTTGTGCTAATGACAAAGTAATTAGGAAATTACTCAGGTGTTAAATCCTCTAATGTTGTTGGTTTAGCTGCTTGACTAGGATTTTGCTCACAGCTCAGTTGTCACTTCTTATTTATGCTGGCTGGCTGGTCTTACTGTCTGAGAGCTATCTTACACACACACACACACACAAGGTCAAAGCTTTCTGAAGTGTGTGATGCTGGAGATCAATGAGTGGATTCATCCATATTGTATTATTCATATTCCCCCCCTTGCTACCTCTATTTTTCTGATTCTGCAGTCTGTGGTTCGCCTGGGTTTCACCACTCATCCACTCACAAACACTGTTTTTCAATAATTTATCCTTCCTCCTTCACTACTTTCTACCCTTTCTCCACCTTTCTTCCTTCCTTGGTCCATTCCCCTCTTCTTTTCTTCCTTCCTTCTTTCCTCCCTCTAAAGCTGAATTGATCTAAATTAACTTGAATCATCTGTCTCTTTTAAACAGCAAGACCGGATCAAGTCACGTAGTGTCTTTTTTGTTCACAAAATAAAACATTTGCACATTTTGTGTCTTTATCTAGATAAGGAGGCATGTTGGCACTTTTGTAGTCATGGTTTCTGAGTCTGAGGGGATGGTTTTCATTTGATTTGTTATTTTTTTGTCTAAAATACCTGTTTGATAGAAGGAGGTACATGTTCTAGATAACTGAACGTCTCAGTTCGCTAAATTGGCAATACAGATGAGCAGAACAAGGTAAGTCACTGGTGTGAGCCCCACAATCCAGCGCAGGTCCTGCAGGGACTGAAGTTGGAGATGCCTACAGGGGTGGAAGAAGTACTTAGATCCTTTACTTAAGTAAAAATAGAAATACAACATGCTTACAGTACACATTATGCATAATGGACCCTTTTTAGAGCATAAATTATGGAGCCCCCAAGGTCCTGAAAGATTATGAAACCTTAAACGCACAAAATAACATTTGGGGCACACAAATCTTGTGAAACATTGTGTTACTTTTGTTGCAAAACTAGATACAATGTTATCAAGCAGAGCTTTGCATTAGATCCAACATGAGCAGGTCTAATCAGTCACATAACTGAAAAAACCTGTGTGGTTAGTCAGGGCATTTTATCTATAATAATGGACCATGTTTTGTGAGTTAATATGTTTTGTATTTGAAATCAAAGAAACGATAGCTCCTAGTTACATAAATGAGGAGTAAAAAATACCATATTTCCCTCAGATATGTAATGGAGTAAAAGTATAAAGTAAAGAAAGAAAGTAAAGCACAAGTGACCCAAAATGGTACTTAAGTAAGTGTACTTGGTTGCTTTCCACCTGTAGATGCCTGTTTCCTAAAGGCAGAGCTTTAGCATGAATTTTGTGTAGAGCTGATGAAATTCTAGTTTTGTGCTTTTGATAGGTTGTGAAATTATAATATCTATTTCGTTTATCTCAGGTATCTGAAAAAGATGTGTCAGTGTTGAATTGTTGTACCTTGTAATAGTTATATAAAGTGAATTTCTCTGTCTCTCTCTCTCTTAGGTTGGCTCCATGAGCTGGCCAAGCGCCTTGGTAGCCCTTACTTCCTGTCCCCTCTGACAACGCTGGTCCCCGCCACGGTCAGCAGCCACCCTGCAAACAGCAGTCAGTGGAACGTGTCGGGGTCAGAGGTCGGAGCGCACGGCTCCTTGAACTCCAGCCAATATTACGGAAACATGTCTGGAGGTGAGGCCATGTCGGGGACGGGCACCGGGGGTGGGAGCCTTGCGTGGCTGGGCGGCGGCCCGTCAATGCGCAGCAGCTACGTGACGTCACTCTACTTTGCTCTGAGCAGTCTCACCAGTGTGGGATTTGGAAATGTGTCAGCCAACACGGACTCAGAGAAGATCTTCTCCATCTGCACCATGCTCATAGGAGGTGAGAAACATGTGTGAGTGTTTTAGTTAATGCCCTTAGTTTGCCTCAGTTCTTCCACTTTGTATGCATCCTGAGTGTTTCCTCTCAGGACGAGAAGCTCTCAGTCTTAAGTACTCACTCAGCTCATTATCTGGTGCCAGTGAGACATTAACATGCAGCTGAACCCTATTTTTTTTTAATTGGTCCTTTTTCATATTGGTGTCGAAATGAATGTACACACACACTTGTATGCAAAACCATCAATTCACTTTTCACTGTCATTAGTCCCACTTTCTTGATTCAAGAACTATTTTAATGGAACTTGTTGTAAAGTTAGGCCACGAGTCAATAAACAATTAAGTTGTTTTTGGTGAATACAGATTTTATTTAAAAACTTAGTTTTGCAAGACACGTTTTGAACATTTTCAACCTCATGAACAATAGCAATGACTGTCAGTATTTCTGTGTGAATCCAAAAGCTTATTAAAAATATCTCACATTTTCTACTATTAAAAAAAGCTAAGTTATAGATTTATGCAACCTTGTTTTTCAGTTTGATGGAAAAAGGCACATTGCTCAAATTCTACAAAACTCTGATGATTATATTCTCTAGAATATGACCTCGTACTGGCCAAGACCTAGCAAATAACCTCAGTACCTTTCAATAATGCTGTTTTATTCAAGCAAAGCTAAAACTTTTTTAGAAGTGGGTTCTGGTGCATTTATTTGAAACAGTTTTGTTTTGAAAAGGCTAAGATGGAACAAAGGCAATAAACATAAACATCAGCGAATATCCATACAATTTATTGAATAAAGCAATAGAGGCATTTTCGTGTCCAATACACACATATTTAGCTACACATGTACAGAGGGTTTTTTCTGTTAGAGCTCAGGGTTTTTTTTAACCCTCAAGTGGAGGCAGCAAGCGGTGTGTCGCCTTCAAACAAACACCCACGGATACAAAATCTTCAAAAGGGATTAAATAAATGTGTATGCTAATTTCCCTGCTCTGACTCAACCTCGGGCAGTCTAGACATGATCATCAAATGGACCCAAAGGACTGTTACGTCACTCGACATGCACACTGTGCAAGCTCAGCCAGTGTTCCTAAGAAACGCTGAGTGTTTAGTTAGTCCAGTGAAGGTCAAAAGACTCATGGGAGAAAAAAGATTCAACATTCAACTCTTGTCTTTCTCACTCTGCAGACCTGACTGACTATTAGCTTTCCAAACATGGCAACACATTAGTACAATCAACTGAAGTCCCTATTGATATTACTTTGACGCTAAATATTGTATAACACATTTTATTTGATAATTAAACTCTGAACTGGAGTTACAATTACTGAGGATAAAAGCACTATGAAGCCTAATGCTTTATTTCCCTTGTCTTTAAACACTCAAATAACACCAACAATGATACACAAACATACAAATGCAGAGATGATGAGCTTTGAGTTTGCTCTCTGATGTGATTAACTAGACCTGTGGGGAAACTATAAAGCACATTACTGCAGCCGGAATTAAAATTTTGTGAAGGGTGACCTCTTGTGACACATCAATGAGTGTCTCTAGTCACCGAAAAGTAGTTCCCTATACACTTTTTACAGTCCTCTTAACTGTCCTGAAGTGCTCAGATTTAACATTTATGGGGATTAAGTTGTAAAACAGCCCTTTTGCCTTATTTTTAATGAATTGAATTTATATTTTGACAGCTTTATGACATAATAATAATACTTGTGATAGATATAGTATCTGTTTTTGCTTTACAAAAAGATCATATATGTGTTGGATCTATAGAGCCCAGTAATGCATGTTTCAGCTATGATTTCTGATGGTTTTTGTGCTGATTCACATCCATAATGAAGAGAGCTGAATGTTCAGGAAGAAAGTAATAAAAGAAGAAAGAAGGGGAGGGAATGATACGGTTATTTGGTGAGAGAAATGTCGAGATATATGGTCAGAGGACACAATAATGTGTGGGGATGTCTCAGGCCTCAGTGCACATTAAGTGGTCTGTAAATGACCACACACACACACACATACAGAAACCCACTTCAAAGTATTGACTTACATTTATTCTCTGGTGGCTAAAACCGTACCTTTAACTACAACTGCCCACATTCAGTTATGTGAGCTCACGTGTGACAATTATCTACATGGCACACACACACACACACACACACACACACACACACACAGTTTATAGGTAAAATCTCATTGGTAACACTTCAGACTACTCTCTGTGCTTGACATAAGTTGGATGAAATAATAACGAAAGTGCTGTTTTCCAGTACAAGGTGCTAATACGCCTAAAATTTGTGCTCTGCCTGTTACAACACTAATACTGGATGTCTGTTATTAGCCAATAATCCAGCTGTTTTCAGTCCCACATACACCGTCATGGTGTCGTAAAACTAACCCACTGGTGAAATAGTTTCTAACAGATATGCTATTTACTGCTCATTAAATAACATTTGCTAAAAATTCAGTGTCCATCTGTTTAAGGAATTTAGTGGACCTTGAAAATGAAACTGTATATTTGGACCCATTTTTAAAGATCCATCTTCAGTAGGAACCTTGCTTGTGGCCACAGACAGAGAAAGGGAGTCAGAAGTGTCGAGAGATGGATAAACATGTGGCTGGTTTGGTCTTTTCATGGGATTTGTTAACAATAAGAAAAACAGAAACTAAAGCTATTCTCATTCTTTAATTAAATTTGGGTGTTTTTGTGTTGCATTGATTTTTAATAACCCACAGCGATGTGTGCACAGTTCTCCGTCAAAGCAGAGCAAGCTAAGCAGAACAGAGAGAGAACAGGAGAGAGAGGAAACTACAGCTTCATTATTCTCTCTGTTTTTTATCCTCATACTGAGTTTAGAGTTCTCTAGTGGCGAGCTTTGTTGAAGCAGTGTGTGCCCTTGAGCTGTAACTGACAGAAACGTATACATTTTACAGTTTTCCAAAATGTGAGTTGGGTCACCCTGCCTGAAGGAGCAGTCATCCTAAAATAATGCCATTAGTTTGGGTGTCAGTGGACTGTGTAAGTGTCCTGTGGTCTGAACGCTGCTTCAGCAGCTTTTCTACTTGGGCAAGAATTAAATTTAGGGAGAGAAACTGCTATGCAGCCCACTCAGCAAAGTAAATTATAAAAATAGATCCAGTCACTGTTTCCTCACTGGGTGGGAGCTTGTTAGCTGTGTTCACATTCAAAGCAAACCTGACTGTGACTGTTGAAGTGTTTAGTAAATATTAATACCACACCCACACCAAGACTAACTGCTCATACCAGGATTAGAGCTGTTTTAGAATAATAATGTAGTTGTTTTGTTCAGTAGAAATAAAAGATTCATTCAACATTGTTATTTCAGTAGTGTTACAGATTTTTTCTGAAAGCAGTAATCCACTTGAGGCAGTACTTTACAGTGGTTTTAGAACAGCTAAGTCATTTTAAGCCCTCTGCTTTTTAACTTCTTGAGGCTTATAAGGACGTCCTATAAAGCTTTTTGCTGTGCAGAAGCATTATGGAAATCTTCTGAGGGCCATTCTAGATAAAAGCCAATCAAATAACTCATTACTCATTGTCATACTCACTGTCATTAAATCTGTGTCATACCGCAAACACACAACCTTTCCTCTGTCTCTAGCACTGATGCATGCAGTGGTGTTTGGTAATGTGACGGCCATCATCCAGAGGATGTACTCACGGCGCTCGCTCTACCACACCCGCACCAAGGACCTGAAGGACTTCATCAGGGTCCATCGGCTGCCCAAGGCCTTGGAGCAGCGCATGCTGGAGTGTTTCCAGACTACCTGGTCGGTCAACAACGGAATAGACGTTAATGAGGTGAGGAGAGAGCAGACGTATATTCACTTCAATACACATATAATACAGAAGGATATGAATGAGTGAGTATTGCACCCTTTATATTGATTTCATAAATAGATACTAATTAAGTTTGTGTATTGTCCTTTCATACCTCATCAAGAGTGTGAACTGTATGTTTACTTTGTCTTTGATTACTGTCTTTACACACAAAAGATTCAAATCTTTTGTGCTAAATGTATTTAGTTCAGGTAATTAAAGGTGGTGTAGTTTTGTGAAAGGCTGTTGGAAGCCTGCTTTTGAGTTGATGCAGCCATTGCAAGTCTTTAGAAAGAGCACCTGTTAAATGTGAACCCCGTCTCACTTTACAGCTACTGAAAGACTTCCCAGACGAGCTGAGGGCCGACATCGCCATGCACCTGAACAAGGAGCTGCTCCAGCTGCCCCTGTTTGAGTCGGCCAGCAGGGGCTGCCTGCGCTCCCTCTCGCTCATTATCAAGACCTCCTTCTGCGCTCCGGGCGAGTTCCTCATCAGGCAGGGAGACGCCCTGCAGGCCATCTACTTCGTCTGCTCGGGCTCCATGGAGGTCCTGAAAGACAACACTGTGCTGGCCATACTGGGTAAGTCGGATGAAACAGGATGATGGCTACAGATAGACAAGAACACGGTCATGTACTTGTTATGGAACTTTTAGCTTTGGCTAATACTGGAATGTATACAGTGATATAGTTCAGAGTGCAGGGGACCCAGATAAAAGAGTCTTGATAGCGACACAAGCAGCTGTTTGGAAAAGTAGATACTTGAGAGATATTGGCATACTGGGTAGTACGTGTTAAAGCAGAGAGCATGTGCTTGTTCAGCTATTTTGCTTTCTTTTTCTATTTATGTGCCCCTACTGTGTTTATATATACAATACCTTTTTATTTCAGGTTTGTGGGTCTTCTGAAATCTGAAATAACTCCAACAACACACTAGCTTCCACTTTTGTTTTTCCTTCAATATTCAAGTTATGTTCCTGTTTGATTCACCATATTTTCAAATGAATGAAGAGACAGGAGCAAAAACTGATAACAAAATAACTTCAGCTGAACAAATGGAGCTTTTAGAAAGACATGCTGATTACCTAATTAGACTAAAATGCAACAAGGGTGGTTTATTGTTTGAAGGAAATTATGTGTAAATGTGTGTTTTGGATGAATTGGATGAAAACAATACAATACCCCCATGGCTTCGGTAGACAATTACCTTTCAAACTAAGACTTAATGAGAGGATGTGGGATGATCGTGATCTGCGGGACAATGTGTTGCATAGTTAATGAAGGTGAGAATTTGAAGAAAACTGACAAGAACCAGGTATATATGTTACTGTTTGATATCAAATGCTGTTAATGGAATATGGACGTTGGAGAGGAAAAGTAGAGAGATCATCTCTTAGTTCAGTGATCACAGTTAAAATGATTTCACAGCTGGTTTCATCCAATCAGACCTGAAGAACAACTTGATGTGGATTTGAGTGGAAATTTGGTTGATGAGGGAGATGTAGGAAAGGAGGAGGCAGGAAAAGACACAACAGGTGTGTGTGTGTGTGTGTATCACTCAAACAACAGGGAAGGCAGGGCTGAGAGAGAGCTGATAAAGAGCTGTTGTTTGTGCTCTGCTGCTTTAAAGAGTTATCACCATGCTTGACACACACACACACACACACACACACACACACACACACACACACACAGACTCGATGCTTCACACAGTGTTGAGCCATTGAGCTATCTAGTGCAAATAGAGATGTAGGAAGTCTTGCTATCAGACCTCACATATGGCATCACATATAGACATTGAAAGAGAGACGAATGAATGTTGATGTTTGTAGGCAGCTGGACTCTCCTGTCCCTTGTTTGTGCTGCAGATAGTACGAATAAATGAGAACCATAAAAGCCCTGAAAAACATGTTTGCTCCCCAGGCATCATATGCATTCTGCAGATCACAGGGATCGCCTTCACATTCTCAACTCTGTAGTAGTTTTCACGGTGACAAATATGCAATATTCAGAACCTAGGTTGTCAGTCACATTTGTTTTGCTACTCAGATGAACAGCTCACCTTCTAAACAATTCACAAAAGACTCTCCCAGTAATAGATAAGACAATTTAGGAACAATGGAGATAGACAAAGGAGGGAAAGCTTGCCACCTACAGAAACTCATACTTCATCAGAGGAAATCTGGAGGAAAAGGGTATTGGTTTCAACCAAAGATTTGTCAGCACAATTCCACTGACTGGAAAAGTTCCAGAGCTTGAACTAAAGAGCCTCCATCTAACTAACTAGATGAAGGCTGCAAGATGTGACTGAAAGTTTCAGAAAATTTCCAGGAAGTACACTTTGCGCAGGATTTACTTCTATTTCCAAAATCAGCTATGAACCTTCAAGCTTGACGTTACGTTTGTGTTGATGCTGCTGACTGATGACTGATGCTGTGGTGAGAGCATAGCTCCACAGTTTGGTTGTCAAATATTGGGCCCACCACTTGAGTATTTAAAGGTTCAGCGTGTAAGTTGTAGTGGTATCTCACGGTGCATTCACATGCGCCTCGGATGGTCCCATTTCCTGAGCTGTGAAGTCGTTCTTCCCACTTCAGTGTGTGTAAAAATGCTCTCAAGTTGGAATGTGGAATCAACATGGACGTTACTACAAAGATGTGTTGGAATAGCTTTATAAGGCGTTTAAACAACTCGCAGACATCTCGATCTAGTTCACTCTACATGCACAGCAAACTAACTGTTATAAACATAATACAAATGACATGTTTGCAAAATATGTATTTGCAATACTTGATTTTGCACAAATCAAAGTTCTGTATGCTTCTTTATGTCCCATGTACACTTTATTTCTCCTTTTTCAATAAAGATTTAAGGAGGAAAAAAATATTCAGATTATTCCGACACTACAGGAATGCACCATCAGTCATCGCTCAGCCCTCCTTTTACAGGGGAAGCTACGGTGGCCGACTCACTTCTAATAAACCAGACGACTGCTACTACTACTACTACTAACGTAACTGGTTGTCTTTTTTCGTGTGTATTCAACAGTAGTGAGGAAACACGTTCTGTAGGGAAGTGTGTCTGCTTGGGCTACTGTAGAAACATGGCGGTACAACATGGCGAGGTCCATGTAAGAGGACCCGCGGTGTATGTAGATAGAAATGGCTCATTCTAAGGTAATAAAAACATAAGGTCTTTATACGGCACTGAAAACATACTTATGGAATTATATTGCATTTCTGTCAATAGATCCTCCTAAATATTACACACTGGACCTTTAACTGTATGTAAGTTTACTTTAATTACACCATGAGTGTGTATCTGAATGATTTTGTCTTTCGGTTTATGGCTGTGTGAGTAAAATACAGCATATTATCCAAGAACAAGTCATGTACACAGTATTTAAGTTTAACAGTAAATGCAGCTATCAGGGTTCACACACAAAACATTTTAAATCATGAACGTCTTGAAAATATACCAAAATAACATCTCCTGGAGAGCAACAAGCTGTCTTGGAAAACATATGATCAGTGTTGTTGTATGAGCCGTCATTGGAGTTTTTCAAAATATTTGTTTTTGTTATATTTCTTCACTGGCAGCCAGCTGCTGTAATTAGCACTCTGTTCTGGGTGAAGTAGATGATTTGTGGGCAGCTTGCAGTGATGTTTGTTGTAACTTGGCACATGCCAATATGAAGTCTTAGCAGTGTGATTGTGGTTTGAAATATTACCTCAATCATTACCAAAATAAGAGAGACTCTGGTAGCATTAAAACAAACTAAAACATGAATTTTCTAAAACAAATGTGATGAAATGTGAAGGAAAAATGTCTTGATCCCCTTCGTTTGCTGGCTCTGCCAACAAAAATGCTTTTTCCACCTTCTGCCATGATAAAATTAAATAATTTAGATGAGTCTCAGTCTGCGGGAAGAAGCTGCTCTGTAGTCTGGTGGTGCAACAGCAGATACTTCTGTATCTCTTGCCAGACGGCAGCAGAGTGGGTACAGTCCTTTAGTATCCTTTGGGCTCTGCAGGCACTACACCTCACTGATGCTCTGGAGATGGGTACCAATGATCTTCTGAGCGGTTTCAATCACCCACGGCAGAGCTCTCCTGTCCTGGACCATGCACATCCCATGCCAGTTGGTGATGTTTCCAGTCAGGATGCTTTTGCTCCTCTGTAAACGTTAACAAGAACTTGGAGTTATATTTTGCCTGTTGTGGCTAAAACTGTAAACCTGAGGGCATAACAGACCTTTTAGTTCATAATTTCGCATTTATTTATGGGTCCATGTTCATCTCTTTTCTCTTTCTGGTTTCTATTCAAAGTAGAACTCTCAAAATCACGCTACCTTTCTCCTTTTTTAAACATTTATGAGGACTAAGACATCTTGTTTTGAAAAACTGTAATTCAAATTTACAGTGAACAAATCCGATGGGGGATTTTCATGTTTACATTCAGTGTGAACTCCCACGTTGTGAACAGTGGATTGTCCGGTTCGTCTGTGCAGAGACGGCACTCAAAACGTGTAGTCTGAGTTAACGCAACCGCAAGATTACTAAAAAGCATACAGTGTCTGCCCACAAATGGTGAGAGTCACAAAAAGCAACATTTTGTCTTAAGTGTTTAAAAATGAAATAAACAGTGTGAACTTGTATAAAAGTGTGTAAAATGTGAGTGTGCGCGTGCAGCTCATCAGTTGGAATAGATGGCAACAGGGGCATTGCGCACAGACGATAACGCAGTGAGAATGAGTTTTGATTTCATGTAACTGTGTGAGGGAAATGTGTGTGTGTTTGTGTGCCCACTGGCATTTGTAAAATGGTGTGATCATATGTCCTCGCTCACATTGGTCTCTGGGGATGTGAAGGCGGAGTTGTGTTCCAGTGAAGCCTAATATTAAACAGGACGGATTTGCAGACAGTGTGTGGGAGGAAAAAACCAGAGAGTCATGCTCTGCACAGAAGCTTTTACCACAGCGACTAGTATCACTACCAGTATCACATTACATGTCTTCTGTATACCTTAATACAAGTCACACTTGGATTACTCTATTATAATTAAAAAGGCTCTGGGGTTTATTTACTTTCCTTTTGTTCTTCTTTATTCCTTGTTGGTCTATTTGACGTGACAGCTGCAGGAAGAAAAATGACAGCATCAGCCAATTGAGCAAGTGCCCGAAAACAACATTTTACTGTCAAGTGACAAAGCCTTCTAGCAGCCATACGAATGTAAAAGGAATGTCAGGTGACATTTTATAGAGCAACAAAGTCTGCTTGTCCATTATCTTTCTCTAAATCTAACCAAGTAATTTTTGTGCCTAAACCTAGCCAAACCTTAACCACACCGTTGTCGCTTCACAAAACAAATTTATTTATGAACTGTAATATGTGAGTAGGTAAAGCGTCAGTGAAACGGGGAATGAAATTTTGTTTGTGATGCTTACAACATTTATGAAGAATATTTCTCAGGGGGCTTAATTTAGGTAACAGGAAAGATAAGGCAGGTCACCCTTAGAGTCATTAGCTGAAAAGGAGAGAGTCTGCAGATCAGGATATCGGTGTTCTCTGGAAATCTTCATC